TATGTATTTTCATACTTCAGAATGTTTTTATTATGCATGGGTCCACCTTTCAGCAAAAAGCTTAGGAAATGTTGTGCTCCCGTTATATTGTACATGACTGCTTATAAAGGCTAGACACCACTATAATTCACAGTCATCTGCCCCACTAAAGTCACCATTGGGGATTTCAATGTGATGTAGTACTTCTTTTTGATATAATTTCTCCAGGAAAACAGCAACATTTTTTGAGAAGTTGGTGAGACCAGGTCTCTAAACAGAACCTTTTGGGTTTCTGAGTAGGACAATTTCTTCACCTTCCTCAGAATCATAACAGCTTAAAATGTACTGTCCTCATTAATTTTGTGTATTGTTAGGATCATGTTTAAATGATATCTGGCAGAGTCTTATAATTAAACGGTTTTTTGTCCAAGCTAAAAATAGCACACTTGAGTGAACGTCAAAGTGTTGTATCACAGTGGGAGTGAAGAACCAAGGGGCAACACTGGCTTATCAAATTAAACAAGAAATAAGCCATGGCCTCACCAATTGCAGAACTCTGTCCTCCAACATCAAGACACACAGCTTCATGCTAGTTAAAGTATGTTATATTGACAACTTTGATTATTCCTGTGAAAATTCCCTCTAATGGAAGTAAACAAGTTTGGTTTCTTATCAACATGCCTACTAGCTTTGTATCCATGACAAAAAGTTTGTTATCCATCAGGATTTACTTTTCCTCCTTTTCAAAGGAAGATAAGATAGTACCCAGCCTCTTCTGGTAGGCATTATCAAACTACATAAATAATTACTTCAAAGTTCTTGGAACCCAGTGCTTACTATACTGTTCTGTCCTCTTTCTTTTTGCCCTATCAGACTATATTTAATGATTGTCTGAGTGATGATGGTAGAGTGCTGTTTCTCCAGTTGTTACTCAGATTCACTGTCTATTCTCTACACTTTCTCTTAGCATGAGTGGCCTTAATGTATTGCTTCAATGAAGTGCCATGCTTTATGGGTTTCTACTGGATTCCACAATTGTAGATTATCTTGGCAGATAGAAGGAGCAGAGCAGAGTGAGCAGTGTGTACATCACATGCATGGCCATGTTAGGTTTTGTATTTAGAGATATTACTACAGAAAAAGTTCTATTCAACACCTTGGGACTGCCTCATCCCCTTGCTCATCAGGCATAAGGGTGCTGATGGCACTTTTCTTGTCTGTGGCTAGCTTTGGATATTTCATTGGTGGTCCCTTATAAACACATCATAACTTTGTTGGCCCTTTTGGTACGTTCTCGATAATCACCTCATTTGCGTCAAGAATCTAACATATGGTTGCTTGATCCAAAAGCCAAGCACATTGCCAGGATGTTGCTGGTAGCCAGCTATCCAAAGTATAGAATATTGTGACATAATACTGCTTTGTGATTCAGAGGTTAGATAGTTGACAATCAGAACATGTGTGACATATATAAAATGAGAATACTGACTACTCAGTTCACTGAGTAGATCTAGATGATCCACTGGAAAGTTTTACATCTAGTCGTTTTTGTGCTTCTTTTCTAACCCTCTGCGAGTAGCCTTCCTGATTGCAAAAGCGAGTAGCAATTTTCTACAAAGTTTCTTCAGGATGGACAACACAGGTAATTGGCTTCAGTTCAAACTGTGCAATTAACAGGTTACCTGAGCCCTGTGCCTCTAGTCTTAACCTCACATCTAGCAGCAATTCACTACAAAATCCAAGACAAAATTTCGGGAACTCTCATTTCAGCTACTTGTGCCTAAAAAGGCAGAGTAGCACAAACTGCAGATGCCCTTAATCTTCCTGTTTTCTCTTTGTGTTGAGTCCCATCTATACATGTTACTTGAGATTTTTATTCCTACTCAGAAAGAAGGTCACTTCACTTCCATAACTGTAGCCAGACACTGAGAATCTCCTAAAATAGGAGATTAAAATTTCATTAAGTCTCTTCAGCTTTGGCTCACATTTTCACCAAAGAATCAGTAGCTGTAGGCTGTTTATGGATAAGAGAAGGAAATTCCTTATTTTAAAAAAATATTATTTGCCCTTCACACCATCTAACACAGGGCACAAAATAAAGTAATTAGGAGAGGCTGTTTGGGTCTCAGATTCTGGACCTCAAATTTTTTAACATATGGACACTAAAAAGAGGCTTAGACATTCATTTAAATGCCATTGCATATCAATTTTCAGCTTTAATTTTAATCAAGCAGATAGCTTCCTACCATTAATACACTGACACAGTAATTAAAAATGCCTTTTGATAGTTGTAATTTTAACAACTTTGCAAAACCCAAGTCATGGAGTTCATTCCCCTTTTCACCCATTTGGCCAATGTGCAGTAGTGTTCATAAATGCATATGTGCTTATGGTTACACCCTTTCAACCCATAGAATACATTCAAGGGCTTCCTTATGGTTAAGCTTCATTGTAACCTGGCAACATATTAGAGATTTCAGTTTTTCAGAAAGAGGTGTGACAAAATGTTTTCTTCTGGTTTGTTGAATTTTTCCTTGCTTGATTTTTTTTTAAGTTAGCAAACAAGATAATGGGTTTAATTTTGATGTTTTCATATACACATATTACTTCAGTTTGCTCTTTTTAAGTCCCTCCCCTCACCATCTTCCCCGTCTTCTCTGTCCACCTCTTGTTTGTTCCTTACCATGAACCAACTAGTCACCCCTCTGTTTAAACATGGAAATTCTGGGATCACCTTAAGTTAATAGAATTTCAATTATTTTATTGCATTTTTGTCTGTAATTTTCATAAATTTCTGGCTAAATAATATGTCTAAGTTTTAGATTTATCTTCTCCTGTGTACCTATGTATTAAACACAAGACAGCCCCAGGGAAAACTTTTCTCCTTGAAATTGAAGGAGGCTAACATTTTATAATTTTGAGAGATCAGGCATAATTGGGTTGCTAAGTCAAGATAAAAGCTGGCTCTTATTGATTGATTTTTGAAATGTACCCTGCACCCCATGTGTTAGATATTTAGTCTTGAATTTGATAGTATTAGTTTGAGAAGTGGGAAAATTTTTTAAATGTGCCTAGTGAGAGGAAATAGGTCAATGAGGGTTCCTTTCAAAGTTATACCTGGTCTTGACTTCCTTCCTCTTTCCTTCCTTCCTGTTCA